GAAACGACCAAAATGTCGAGCAAATAAGTAGCATGAGCAAACCAAAAATCCGGCAGCACCTCCCCCTTCTCCAAAAGATTCGGCCAGCCCCTCTCCTTTCCAGATGGGGCTTCTTATAGGCAAGAGGGAGAGGAGATGGGTAGAGATCTCCCCATCGCGTGCGGCTCTAGGAGTCGAGCGGAGTAGGACGCCCTCCATGCGGGCGGCTCGAGGAGGGTAGAGAGAGCAGGCGATGAGATCACACGATAAGGAATGGGGCGCCAGTGCTATGTCGCGAAGGAGATAAGGGAGAGAGAGGAGTTCGGTCGGGCGTGCGAACAGGATGATGAGGCGTGAGCGAGAGAAAGAATTTGGGATATAGGGCTTTAGAGATTAGGGATTTAATTGAGAGAAAAAAAAGAAAGAAAGAAAAAGATTCTTTTTAAAAGAAAAAAAAGATTTTTTTTAATATTTACCATCGAAAGCTCCCAATTCGCAGTCCGTTTTGTCATCCGAGGTCGTCTGGACAACCTCGTCGACGATCGGGTCAAAAAACGCGTCAAATTCGATTTTCATCAAAATTTTGGTTCAGGCTCAATTGATCAAGATAGTGTAGATGGTTGTCACGAGAGGTTTAGAAAAGATTTGCAGTGATTTGAATTGGTTTGGAGATTCAATTTGGTGAGTTTTGGTCATTTGGTCAATTTAGGGGTGTTGGGTTAGACTTGGGTTTAGGTTGGGTTAGGTTCAAATTGATTGTTGAAAATGATCTAGGGGAATGATGAAGAGTTTTCAACATTAATTGGGTGTCAATTTTAGGGTTAGGGCATTCAATTAGGTGAAATTTGAGGACAGTCAATTTGGGTCAAATTTGGGAATTTTAAATGTGGGTTGAAATTGAGTGAAATTGAGGCTTGACCAAGACCAATTAAAGGTCCAATTTGATGTGTAGGATTGTTATGAAGAGTTTAAGATTCAAATTGTAGCAAATTGAGTAGACTATGGGGTTCAATTAGGTGAGATTAGGTCATAGGGCTGTAATTGGGGGTTTGACTTGGATCAAAATTGAGCGCAAAGCATGGGTCAATTAGACTTGGATTTGGTTTTGATTGATTTTGTCATGATGAATTTGAGTTTAGAATTGAAATTGGGGAAATTGGGATCAAATTGAGTTCAATTGAAGAGTCCAAATTGGGAGTTCAATTGAAGATGAGTTCAATTGAAGAGTCCAAATTGGTTTTGGGGACAAAAGGCTGAGTTGGGTATTTTGGTGAAATCGATGTGCCAACCATCCTGATTTGAGCCACGGACCAGTGGAATCTCCATTTGAGTCTTCTATGTACTGGTGCTTGCTAAACCCCAGCCTAGGGCTAGAGGGTCTAGGAGACCATCTACATGAGTCTCCCAAAGGATCAAGGGATCAAAGTCAACAAATTTGAGCTTAGGGTTGTGAGTGAATGAGAGTGAAAGTGAGTGAACTAGCTCCAGACCAACTTCTAGGGTCAATCTTAAGGCCAAGCAGCCTTATGGGGATTCACCTTGAGCTCCCCCATATTGACCCCACCTACTAAGTGCTAGAGGTTATGACCAATATGTGGAACTTCAAGTTGAGCAAAGACTGGTTTAAAGTTTCTAATGGTGAGGGTTCCTTTTCTAGTTTTCTAGGAATAGTCAACGTGAAAGTCCTATTGCTAGACCCTAGGCTACTAAAGAGGAGAAAGCTAGACCTCAACTAAAAGTGAGGTCAACAAGTACACTACTAATTACACATCCAAACGGCCCTTAATGTTAACTCTTTACATTGCACAAGAGGCTAAAGTCTACATACTTTACATGCATAAGCTTCATATTCTTAGTGAATGGAATCAACATTGCATTGTTGGCTACTATAACTCAATCACTGAAGTTGCTAGGTTACTGCACAAGTTTTTTTTTTTTTAATTTATTTTTTAAAATTTTTACCTTTTCTTATGATGTTAAGACAGGTTTGTTCATTGATAGGTTGATTATAATATTAGACATTTTTTCTTAAGTGATATTGCTTGTTAATTCGTTACACTTGTTCTAAATAATGTGGTGGTTCTATAAAATAGGCTTATCTTTATCACCAGTACCAGCTTGTTCGAGACTAACCTTGGTTTGCTTGGTTTATATGTCTTCCTTCATGTTGGACTGCTAGATGAAATTGTTTTTCCTTTTTTCATGGATTGCTTTATCTGCAATTTTTTAGTTCATTTAAATTTACAACAACAACAAGTGCAAACAGTGACAGCAGTAAAGAAACAAACAAAGTTTTCAGTTGAAAGAGCAAGAGATCAGAGGATTTTGCCGAGAATAACTGCAGCAAGCAAACAATGATTTCCAGTGGTTTCCGGGATGCCCCATGGCACTGCACAGCTTGGTTCTGGAGTTTCTGGAGTTTGGGGCTCAGGTTTTACTGCCTGGAGAGATGAAGGTTTTTTGGCTGGAGAAGAAAATGAAGGATTTTTTTTTTTTGGTAGAGATTTGGATTGTGGTTTAATACTTCTATTGTATTCAGACCTTTAAATAGGCAATTTGAATGGAAATAATATTTTAACCATTTCTAATCCAACTCCATAAAGAGAAGAAACCCTATTTATAATTATTAGTTAGATAAGTTCATTCTACTCGAAAATATAAGCATATTTTATCTCTTTTTTTAATTTAAAACTTAAATTCATTCTTATCCTGCTAAAATATGAATTTTATTTATTTGCTCTAGCTTTCAAGACTTTGGTCTCCTTTATATAGTTTTTGATTGATGATTTGATTGTGCCTATAGACTTATTGGGACATCATTTTTTATCTTAACAACGGGATATGAGAATTCCATCAATAATTTTCATCAAATTATTTGATCCAATCTTTTGTTCTCTTCACTAATTGATGCCTAAATTGTTGGATGCTTTATGTTCTATTTTTGAAATGAATTGCCAGGTTGAACATTTTTTCATGGTCAGATCCCTAGGTCAGATACGTGCCCCCAATTAAAAATCTTTTATTTATATGAAATTTTTAAGAAGGCGGAGAGAAAGGAACAATAGTTACATCTCACTTATCACATTCGTGCGCCCGAAGCATGCACATTGATTCTCCACAATATTTTTGTGGGATTAAACAATAAAACAACATAAAACTTGTTTAAATTTTGCGCAAAAAATTGAATTTGATGAATACAGTTGGCCAGTCATAAATTTGAGCAAAATGAAAGTAAATAATAAGCATTTTGTGAGTAACCCATGTGCAAATTCGTGTTTCTTCAAAATCAGGTTGCTTCTATCCATCCATGACTTCGAAACTTTTGAGTTTGGCTATAGTGTTCGGTAGAGTATTCCTCAGTAATTCATGGGTTTCATGCTTCCATCTACTTGCAATTGAGCCATGGCATGTATGGGACAGATTCGGTGTACTCCTCTAAGCTAGATTGAATATGTCAACCATCCAATGCTTGGAACATAAGCTGTTGAAGCTTAATATATTCACAACTTGAGGGTTGGTTGGAGTGTAGACTAATTTGTTAACATTTTTATTAAATTATTGATCAATTTCAATTTGCTTTGTTCTGCCATAATGGATAAGATTCTGTCATTATAGATAACATATTGATCATAAAAAAAAAAGATTAATTTTCCCTTCAATTTTAACCCTAAGTGGTTCGAGTGGTCTTTTGATCTAAACTTTTTCACATATATCATAAGCCATGGCATGAAATTTAGTTTTCGCATTGCTACTTGATTTCACAAGCTATTTCATTCTTCTCTGTATAGCAAGTTTACCCTGTACAATAGAGCAATATCTAGATGTGAACTTCTAATCACTGATAAAGCTTAGCCCAATTTCCATCGCAGTAGATTCAGTCGTCTTGATTTGAGCCTTTTCTAAAGAACAAAATCTTTTTTTGGAGTTAACTTCAAATAGTTCAAAATTATTTACATGGTCTATATGTGCTGCTCCCTTAAATCACTCATAAATTGGCTTACACCACTAACAAGAACATAGTATATGGCATAGTACATGAAAGAATTATAGGTTTTGGAACAAGACTTCGTTCTTTTCTTTTATCAGTTTGTGTTCCTTCTTCCATTTTTTTGAAGTTTTGATGTAGGCTTCATGGGCATGTGTGATGTTTACGTGAAAGAATTATAGGTTTTCCAACAAGACTTGTTTTTTCTTTATCATTCAGTGTTCCTTCCAATGTTTTCGAGTTTTGATGTAGGGTCCACTGGCATGTGTGATGTTTACAACTCACTATATCATGGTTTTTTAAGAGGTGTAAGAAATTTTTCTTTGGAAGTTAAGAGATTCCTCTTTTGATTTAGTGAAGTAACTTACAATCTCAAAAAATCCTTTTTTAGCAACCCACATGTTATGGAACTTAAATCTTTTGGTAGAAGGAGATGAAAAGAAGCAATGAATGAGGATTTAGTGTTGATCCAAGTAAGCATGGTTGATGTGAGTATAATTCTATTTGGCTAATGTGTGGAGTCAAGCCGGGTTAAAATAGCTCGGTACAGTATTTTCCAGATAAATTAACGAAGCCTGTTATCATGCCCTGTAATTTACTCATAGCTAGACCAACATCTTGGATGAAAGTGTTGCAGTGTTCAGTTAATTGAAGTCAAAGTGTGCCTTGTAGCTTCCCTTCACATTTTGAGTCCATCAATCGCTGCCGAAGCACATTCCGATGCTTTAGATTGAAGTAATGAGTCCCAAGAAAAGCCTTCCATGCGAAATGGATCTATAGGAATTGTTCATGGTCAGTGGACACCGCAACAAAGATGCGATGCCATTAGCCCCAAAGACACTATGGAGTCATTAGTGGCAATGATATTTGTGTTTGGAAGTGAACTCGTAGACATCATGGTTATAATGATAAATAGTTTAGATGTAGATATGTAAATACAAACGAATTTTTTGGTATGTATGTAAATTTCCTTCTTTTTTTTTTTGTTTTTTTAAGAAATTGATCATCTGGATGCCTTTCTATGCTTTCATAACAGTTGGAGTTAGATGACACTTACTACATCCTGTTTTACGGAGCTGGTGCTTTGCTTGCTCTGTGGATTTCATCAGCTGTTGTCAGCGCAATTGATACTCTTCCTCTGGTATGTCTACTGCTACATACTTCTTTACAAATCCTTGTAGTGTTTGAAAGCCAAAGGGCCGTTTGGGATTAGTATTATTTTTTATTTTTTATTTTTTATTTGTGATAATTACATACATAGCACTTGAATTATTGTTATTTACAAAATCTAACATCTAGGTGATTTATCAATGTATTTACACGTGTCACAATCAAACCATTGAGAATTTGATAAAAAGGAAAAGTATGAGTTGGGGTTTTATCAAGAATTTTATTGTTTGAGTAAGAATTAGCGAAATGGATGAAAGCGGATGCTAGATTTGTAAATAGCAATGTTTCAAGTGCTTTGTATATAAATGCCCTTTATATTTTTTGTGCTTATGTTTTGATTTGAAGTAAAATAAGTTTGGTTATTTAATTAAAGTATGATTATTTTTAAAAATATTCAAAACTTCTTAAATTTGTTGGGAAATTTTCATAGGTAGCATGCAATTCGTATGGTTTCATATATCCCACACCTAAGCTTCTATATTTATTACACGCATAGCACTTTGCAGATGCATGAAAAGATAGATTTGACTATTAAAAAATGATAATTAGTGCTATTTTTTAGATGGGCTTACTCCTAACCTTGGTTTCTTAACTATAGTTTCCAAAAGTGCTGGAATTGGTTGGCCTGGGCTATACAATCTGGTTCAGTTACCGTTATCTCATTTTCAAGGTAAAAATATTTTAAATTTTGCAGAATAATAATTTTTTTGAAATCTGAATGTTTTTTTTCTGGTGATTCTTTTGAATTGTTTATATTGTTTTCTGCATGCAGAAAAACAGGGAGGAATTGTTTTCAAAGATTGAAAAACTGAAGGAGGAGATATAATTTGGACAATCTGAGTAACAATTTCTTTATGTGATTCCTCAGCTGCATTTGGTTTTTCATTCAAAGTTCTATATGTTATATTGTAGTGTTTTGTTTTAGAAGCTGTTAGAGACTATTTTTGGGTGCTATATATTTTTCTTCATAGGACAAATTGTGATTTAGCTTTTTCTTTATGAGAATTTACATGCATGCCTCTTAAATTCTTATATATTTACATATCTAACTCCCGAACTTCAATTTTTACATGCATGCCACCTTTTATCTGTGCATGAAAGTATTCATTTCTTAGAAGATAATTTGATGTGATATGAAAGATTTGGGTGAAATATATCTAATAAATCTAGAAAGTAAACTTTAGCTGTTATATATTTAAATATATAACAATTGGATGGTTGTGTGTAAATGACCCTTTCATGCACTATAGTTTTCTTTTGTTTTGCACTTGTTTATGGAGAAATATTTGCGTACGTAAGACGTACGCAGAGTTGCGTACATATTAGATTATTTGTCGGGTATATATAGGTTACGCTCAGATTACATGAAGAATTATAAGGGGTATAATTTAAGTGTAATCTACATATACACTCCGAATAACTTAATATGTATGCAATTTTGCGTAAGTTTTACTTAAGCATATATTTCTCCTGTTTATGTCACGTTTAAACCTTTTTGGATGGAAATTTTGTGGAAGATTTACATTTATATTACTCAATTCTATGTATTTATATATCTAACCCCTAAACTTTAATTGGTTACATACATGCCACTTTATGCATAAAAAAGATACATTTCACTTCTTAAAAGTTAAAATGATGGCATTTTTTATTTGATTTAAATGATTTGGTGGGTGTGGATGTAAAAAATCAGAGTTTGGCTTAAGTGTGTAAATACATAAGAATTGGATGGTATATCGGTAAATGCGTTATTTTAACTCTCCATGGCAATTTTCCTAGGTTATGATCCTTAAATAGCAAACCGAACAGATGCTAAACAAATGGAAATTGACATTTTGTTATGATATAAATTCCGAGCATTAAAAGTATTTTAATCGAAATAAAAAATGATAACATGAATTGATTTCATTTAAATAAAAAAGTTATATATATATATTCTATTAACTTTTATTTATTTATTTTTATTTTATTTTGAATTTGATATTTTATTATTTTGATATAGGTTTTATTCTTAATATGGACATACTATATATATATATGTATATATGTATGTCTATATGTATGTGTGTGTATTTGAATATTAAAAATTATTTTAGGACTAGTACTAGCTTCTCTCACGAAGAGACTAGAGAATTTGATGGCTCTATTAGCGATGTATTAAAAAATATTTTATTTATTTATTTATTTTATATTTATATTTATATTATTATATTATTTACATCATCTTTAATTAATTTTTTATTTGTTACCTCATCGGGTTCAACTTCAGTCAAACCAATAAACCTCGAATATTTGTTTCTTCCAATTTGATGTTCGATCTGATTTTCGTAACCTTATACAACATAAAGATAGATACGAATTTTAAAATTTAATGCTCAAGAACAATACAATATGAACTAATTAATAAATATATAACTAAAAATTATTCTAAAAAATATTTTTAATACAATAATATATTATTATTGAATATATAATAGTTTAGTTAATCAAATTTTTTTTAAATAATAAATTATACATTATACAAATTATCACCGAGCTTATTATCAAATATTTAATAGGTTAATTGTTGAAGAGCAAATGAATTTATTTATGAACATAAAAAAAAACAAGTTCTTCTAAGTTCATGTTTAATCCATTTAAACTTCAAAGTTTTTAAGAAAATGTTCGTGCATATTTATTTACTAATTTAAACAAACACAATCAAGCCTTAATTGAGTCGAGTTTAAGTTGTTCAACAAGTGCTTTGGTTAATTTACAACCATAGTGAGTGATCCGGAGAATTAAGAATGTTTGGGGTTGTAAGTTCAGCAAACTCCAATTCTACTTGTTAACGAGCTTACTATACTTTCTGCTCAAAGTATAGCTTATATCTTGTGAGCCAGCCCGATTAAATATTAATCACTTTATAATTTTAAAAATGCCACACAATCAGATTATACAACTTAAATGAAATCAAAGAGAAGAACCAGATCACAGACAGTAATAGCAGATTCAAGATCAGAACAAAAGCAATGGAAGTTGAGGGAGTGAAACTGTTATGGGATGAAGCCGAGACCTTCCACCCATAAAAGAGAAATACATCATGAAGATCTCCATGACAAGAGTTCCCAACTCCTGAACTACAACACCATATAAACAAGATGATTCCAGTTTCAGAACAACATGGCAAGCCCAAGCTGCTACCTTCAGATCCATTACCGAAGGCCATTGATCGATTCTGGTGAAGTTTTTCAAGGAAAAGGTTTCCTGCGATGATCATAAATGAAGTTTTTAGTCATTTTTGACAAATCAAGCAGCTGACATCTAGTTTTTGACAGCATCTGCTGGAAGTTTTGATGTGTTGCACAATGTGGAGGTTTCAGCAACGTGGGGCAGTGAAAGAGTTTCTGGAGAGGTTGAAGCTGTTGGAAGGATAACTATCAGCCTTGACGGCGCTGTTGCCGGATGGATCCTAACTTGATAGAATCGTTGAAGAGATTGTTGGGATTGACAAAGAGCAGCTACCACTTATCAGTTCATGAATTGACAACTTCCTCAAGTTGGAACTGGTGAGAGTCCATTGCCTCCAATGGGGATAAATTTACTCACAAGAGCCATGACAGAAAATATAGGATATAAGTTCACTTCTTGGCTGTGCGCTATCATCATCAAATGTCTCTCTTGTGTATTAAAACATCACTCAACGCACTCCCAAACAATTAGTGTTGCTAGAAAATGAACTAGTCCACATAAATATCAGCGCTGATGATACTTGTCATCTGTTGAATCAATAATTTGATTTCTTCATCTGGCTCAATTCCATCTCTAGCCATCATCTTCGGGATGTTCGGGTTCACTCTCTTCGCTTTAACGTGCGTTCTGACAAACGACTTGTACAAGTGAAGATTCATCAGACACGAACGTTGAAGAACTTTCACAAACCTATTAGCATCATCAACATTCTGAATTTCCTCATAATACTCCGCAATGGCCGACAAAATATCCGAGGATGGTCTCCAAATACAGTGCTTCAACATAGATAAACCTTTCTTCATGACTTCCACCGCCTTGTCCATCTCCTTCTTCTTCACCCATCCCTCCATCAGAATCTCCCAAGTCTTGTAATTTGGATTACCGCCCTTCTTTAAAGCATGAAAAAACAATAATTCAACCTTCTCCATGCATCCATTCCTCATGTGAGCACCTAAAAGTATGTTAGGAACCCTAATATCATATTTCCAACATTGAGATTCCCATGCCTTAAAGATCCTCTCAGCCTCCGAAATATCACCAAGCTTAACTAAACAGATCATGACACTCATATAATTGGCACAAGGGATCTTCCCTGCCACTCTTTTACTAAACTCCCAAAGCCTCAGAACTCCATTTTTATCGCCGAGAGCCGCATAATTCGTCATGACAAAAGAGTAACCGAGTCGCTTCTTTGTTGATAACTTATTTTCGGCCATCCGAAGGGCGGCGAAAGCCTTGTCAGCAAGACCAAATCTAGTATAAATATTGGCTAAAGTACAGTATGTGCTCCAACCTACTTCAACATTGTTGTCCACCGTCATCTCCTTATAAATCATCTCTAGTGAAGCAACGTCGGATACCTCACCACAGGCGTTCATCCAGAGGTTATACGAGAGTACATTAAGACAAACCTTGTTCCGTTTCATGTACCGGATAACATAGATTACTTTCTTGAACTGGCCCGTTGCAGCATAGAGCTTCATAATCTCATTGAAATGGTGAGGATTCACAATGAAACTTAGGCTGCAGAGTTTGGTCAGCAGAGCTTCTGCTTTCGTCAACTCCTTTTGCTTCACATAAAAATGGAGAAGAGGTAGAGATGCAACCTTCTGTGATGCAGTGTTGGAAATCTGCTCAAAATATAGTTCTGCATTAGCTAGGCTATCGACTTTGATTATTAGATCCAATTTGGCAGCTTGATCAGCTGCTGATGCCTGAAAACTGCTCTGAGAATCCAACCACATAAAGATCTGCATCAGTGGACAAATGCTTAGGTAGAGCTGATCCATTGATTTTGTCGTTATAGGTAATAAATTTCTATATTTGAAACAAGCAAGAATTTACAAATCTAACACCCAAAGTTTGATGTTTACACTTATAAGCCCTTGGTATCATAAAAGTATGCATGAAAGAAAAGATAGTGATGGTGGTATTTTTGATTTAATGTTAAAGATTTGAGTGGTATTCGGGTAAATATGAATGTTTAGATTCATAAGAATTGCGTGGTATGTATGTGGAAACAGAAAGATGGCAGCATGGCAAAATTATAGCAAAAGCCACGAACTTTGTCTGCAAAAAACTATATTAATTGCAGTACCGAATAATTATTATAAGGCAAAATAGGAACTTTAAATACCAAAGTCACAAAAAATACAGCAAAGTCTAATGGAATCTCATCGATGTGCTTTTGAGATTACAGCTAATCAACGCCGCCTGAAATTTCACAATTCTTCATCCCCATTAATCCTCTGAAAGAATCAGCTGTTTCCATTAAACCAACCTTCACAAATCCATCAAACAACCTATTGCAAGCAGAAATATCAAATTCCAAAACCTTTGATTTCATCCATTCATCCATAACTTCACCAGCTTCTTTCTGTTTCCCCAACACAAGATAGGAAGAAAGAACACATATATAATTTCTACTCGTCATTTTTTGTGAGGTCATGCGCAAAGCGTTCCATATTTCATTTATTTTCTCAACATTTCCAAAGCCTCCATGCAGAAGAATAAGAAAATCATAAGTTATCCATTCCCTTAGACTGATCTTCTCCTTACTTTCAACAAGAGAATTGTCTGAACTCACAAGACAACCAGCTGTGATATATATATCAGTCAGTTGCGCGTAAGTTGTCCATCGTCCATCAGAGCTCAAATCTGCTCCCATTTCAGCGAGTATTTTTCTAACACCTTCGATATCAAGGGTAGCGGCACAAGCACTTATTCGTAGATTATACGTAAACAAGTCGGACGAGATTTCTCTCCTCTTAAGTTCTTCAACAACAATATGAACCTTATCAAACTGTCCAATAGATGTATACAATGTCATCATCTCATTAAAGGTCAAAATGCTCAGAGAGAGGTTTGAATCCTTGATCCTCTCGAAGAGTAGCTCGGCTTTATCTACGAGTTTTGCTCCGGCATAAGAATGAAGAAGAGCCGTGTAAGCTTCGCAGGACTTTGCTGATGATGGGAGCCCTTCAAAGAATTCTTCAGCGGAACTAACGCCAAATACTTTTGTTATCAAGTCTATGCGCATTGCGTAGTCGTTATCCGAGAGCTGGGATTCCTGATGAATCTTCATCCATTCTGATATCTATAAACTTGTATCAGTTCAAGAAGCAAATCACTAAAACATTAAAGTAACAAAATTGTCGTTCATTCATCAACTACTCGTAAAAACAAAAAATTCTTGGAGATTATGGCGTGATATAGAACTGAAGTGTTGTGTGTTCTCAAACTAGAATATAAGTATACATATGCCATTAAATTAATTCCAAGTCTCACAAGCAGTCAACTGTGCTATTTTGAATTTTGTACTGAACATTTTGAATTTTGTATTTTTACTAATTTAAGGTTGAAATTCTGAATTTCAAATTGGTATTTTGAAATTTGATTGTAATTAGCATTTTGAATTTTGATTATATATGTGGCTAGCGCTTATTATATGAAACAAATATATCCATTAAAGGGCGTGTTGGAGTAGCTCTAATGGCAGACAAGATTAGAGAGTCGCCCTAGATGGTTTGTCACATTAAATGTTAACCATCTGAAGACTCTATTAAAAGAGTAGATGTTTTAGATTTAACTTATGTTAAGAAAAGTAGAGTTAGACCTAAAAAAACATGGGCATGATGTATAGAAAACGATCTTAATTTGTTAGAATTAAATCAAAATATGATATTCAATACGACAAAATGGAGAAAAATGATTCATGTAGTCGAACCCACTCAGTGGGATGAAGGCTTGGTGGTGTTGAATGTGGTTATTGCTTATACTGAGATAGGATTAGAAGATTGTTTAAGAAATTTATTTTGAGAATAGATGGACAGACTATTAGAACATATAGCTAAGGAAATGACAATTTTTAAGTTCTAATAGAATAATCATTGAGAGGATTCATTGGGGCCTATAGAAGGGGAGTTAAAAATATAATGTAAAATAAAACAAAATTGAAATCATTGCAGTCAACAAATCTTGCAACAGTGAATGCAAATTTGAACAAAAGGAGAAAACACTACATTATTTTCAAAAGTGGAGCCATGAAATCATAAATGGACAATTTTTTTATGCTTGAAAGAGAAGATTTTTTTTTCATTGTAAAATGATTTCAGGAAGAGTATGATCACATAACATAGTGTTTTAATTAAGGATGTATATTTTAAAAAAAATAAATTAGAATTTTTTAGTTGAGCTAGACTTGATGTAAGATAAGAAGACTGTTTATATTAAGAAAACTTCTATATAAGTTTTAAAAGAGTCAAAGAAAAGATCACACATTAATTAAAAAAATTGGTAGTGGAGTAAGAAAATACAAAAGTAATTAAGAAAAAAAAACTGCTTTAAAGTTTGGCAAATGTTAAATACTATAGATGCTTATAATGCTTATAAAAAGCTGAAAATCTTGCAAAGAAGTTACAAATATATAAGAAGTTACACCTTTTGATGGTTTGTCTAGTACAACATAAAGAGAAAATAAAATATATAAAATAACTAAGGCAAGATATAAGCCATCTACATATTTGATTAAGCTGAATGCATTAAAAGTGAGAAAAAAATAGGATATTGATTGAATATAAACGCATCAAGTAAAAAATATAATACTGCTTTCAGAATTTTTTATAAGAAAATTTTGAAAATGATGCTGTTTTGAAAAAACATAGTGAACAATATAGTCAGACAAGTTATAGATTCATCAGAAAAAGAAAATTATGGTAAGCCCCAAAGAAGATACGCAAAGATAAGATTTTGAAACATTATTTATGATTGAAATCATTACGTAATTATTCAACTGTTGCCGTAAGCAGACTGGAGTTTAACTCGAGCAATCCCCTTACTCAAAATCCAACCTCCTAAAACTGAGATTGAAGTAAGAAAGAGAAGTAATGCAAGTTCCAAACTTAAGAACAGCAAAAAGATGACACCTTTTTAAATTAAAATTAATCAATCAGTTTCTTAAGGGCAGAAAAACCACAGAAGGGGCGGGTGGCCAAAATCCAACCTCAAGCGCGTGCTTAAATCGCTGCGACCTCCTGAGGTCCATCGCGATCCTTCGAAGCTCCTGTGACGACGCCTTCCTTCCCTCGGCGACCCACTTCTCGATCACCGCCGTTGCGCTCCTCTTTGGGAATCGAAGTCGGAAGATTCGGCTTCGTAGGTCGTCAGGCGATTTTGCAAAGGAGGAAGACGATTCGTCATCCTCGAAGGGAAAGTCGATGCGTTCGCTCGTCGGTGCTGTAGGGGATGAGAAGCATCTAGAACTCCCGATTAGGGTAAACGGGATCGCACGGCCGGTCTGAGTTCCGGGCGTAGCCAGGAGGCACCGCCGGAGTAGAACGGGGAAGAAATAACCCATCAGCTCTCGCCTCTTCAACAATGTGCGGAGTGAGGGAAAAAAGCAAAACAGGAGTTTTCTGACACGGAGAGAACGGAGGAGAGGACGGACGCAGGAGGCGGGCCGTCGGTCGTATCGGATGTGGGAGAGTTTTGAGTAATAAAAAAAGACTGGAGTTTTGGAATTTACAAAGATAACTTTATAATCTTTTTTATCTTAATTTTGGGTTAAGATAAAGTTAAAGTGCGCTGATCCCAAAGAGTTATAATGATTTAGAATAGAGAAATCACAATAAAGAAGGGCCCACTCATAAAAAATCACGACTAATTATCAGATCTGATCGAGCGTAGATAGACGTGTAGTTATACTAGCCAAAGCAGAAGGTCGACCGAGCAAGAGGAAGAACAAAAGGAAGATCAATTGACCATAATTAGAACCAATCGGACTAAAACAAGATAGATAAACTTCTGAGCTAATCACCAAGGAAAAGTTGATCGAAAGCAACAACCTACATTTCGTTAGATTTGGCCTGAGAAAAGACCCAATTTTTCGATATCACCTGCTTTATCAAGGACACCATCGAGATTTTTCATTAGAGACCAAGAATTGACAATAAAATAGAGTCTTATAGTCATTCCACAAGTTATCTATTAGATTACGGTGATTCAACCTTTTTTCAATAGCTTAATCTCGCTTTACCGATAAGAGCTCCTCATCGGGATTGAGTAACAACAACCAGACTAGTTCGACAAATCGATAAAACTTTGTCGATCGAATCAGTCTTGTAGACCAGAAGCCAATCAAGCTCATGTGGCCAACAATGCCGATTCATTTTAGCTTATTTGACCGACCTTACCAAGCCAAAGTCATATTATCTTAGTCAACTTAGCTTGAGAGCTGACAAGCGATAGGCTCATATATGTAAGATACCTAGAATATCAAATACAATCCCACTAAAATAAAGGTAGACATACAATATCACTATATTGTACTTTCTCCCATATAAATAAAAAAATCATTTTTAGGGTATAAAGAAAACGTATTACCATTCATTATTGTTCACTCTTCTCTGGGTATCTCTCTCTCCTTTTTTATGTTATATTTCTTAGAATGTCATTCACAGATAAATCATGATTGAACATAAATATATGTTAATTCATCATTTTTTCAATCTTTTAAAATATTTTCAAGTAATTCCTAAAATTAATATAATTATGTTACATATCATAAATGAATGACTTGCCCACTTATTCGCGTTGTAGTGTTTTAGGCTGTAGTCTCCTATCATTAATCTTAAAAAGGAGTACAAAAAAGTAGAAGAAAAATAAGGTCCTCAGACTTGTGCAAAAACGACCCTATCATCTTGGAGAATGGCAAAAAACTCTAACAATTTATCAAATATTAAGCATCTCATGCTAGTAGTAAAAAAGTTCAACCAGATATCAAATTTAAATGTATTTTTCATTAATTTACTAAGTTTTTATTTAAATGTTATATAAATGAATAAATTAAACTTAAGACTATCTAACCGAGAAAACTTAAATATAAAAAGAAGATATTTTGTTGGCCCTTACATGGTATTTGCTGGAAGGCTCCATGATATGTGGACAGAAGCTCAAATCAAGCCTTAATTACTATAAAGTGACTTGACATATAGATTTTGAAACTTCGAATGTGCAACTGAGGTTGCATTGCATGTATTGTAACAAATAATTGCAATGATGAAAATATTTTGGTATAAAACATAAAGGACATGGCTGCAACATGATTGATATTATGGTATATGCCTTAAATGAGACAAACATGATGTTTATGATGTTATGACAAGTGTGAGGTTTAGGTGTATGTCTGAGTACAACAATGATAGCTAGCACAAATGAAGTTGTAACACCAGTTTGAAAGGAGATGACCAACAAAAGTTTTGCTACAGTATTTCATGAAAGATATGCTTGCATGCCTCACATGAGATGTCCATGCTACAATAGAGATTATGACATTGATTTTGATGCGTGCTAGAAGATTTGTGGCAGTTAAGTAATAGATTATCGTCTTAGTATTGCACAAAGATTCAACACGCAACCAGAAGAAATAAAATATTCAGTAGTAATACTAGAAGTTTTTACGTGGAAAATCCGTGAATAGCAAAAGCACGAGGTTTTGCTTAGTTGTAAAAATCTAATATAAGTTGATGATTATAGAGACCCCTCCATCTCAGATGCGGGAAAGAGTTACAAAGTCTTTTGAATTACAACATCAACGTGCGCATGAACTTGTTACAAGAAACGGACGGCGACCGAAAGCGATCCGTAGTTGTCGGTAGGTGATGGTCGACAGTGTTCAACGGCGGTCAATTGCGGTCGATGGAGGTTGGTGGTAGCCAACGGTGGTCGACGACGATCTGTTGTGATCGACGAGGTTTCATCGCATTCTCAAAGTTTCAAGCTCTTACTCAAGCCTTAAGCTCTTCTCTCCCTCAAAAGAGAGATGAGACTCTATTTATAGAGCTCTGGGTGCAATTAAAACAGGAATATGAACCACTTTGATTGAACGACTTAAAGAGCTTTCCTCGATCAGAAGACATTTGACAGGCATCAATGCAGAAATTGAGCGATCTTGGACTTATTGGATTCGTCTCGCCAAGATGCTTGATTCGACTATGAACTCATTGGATTCTAAATACGTTTGATCATCCAAATATGTCTCAAAAGCTTTCAAAAATGGTTTAATATTTTGATAAGGGCTTAATTTGACTCGGATTGAACCAATTTTGGTATCATTTTCGTTGAGTTGATCAATTGACTATAAGTTTACTGGAATCAGAGCTCTAGATGATTTTTTATCAAGATTTGAATATTATTTGCTCAAAATATTGACTCAATATCCGCATCATGCCTCAGATTATGAGAAATTGTTGGAGTTGTATCAAAATTCTAAGAAGATAAGTATAACATAAGTAAAGTTGAGGTGCAAATCTTGGAGGAGAAGTTCACGGTGCATTCAAGTTAAAAAAAGCAAATTTAGATGCGATGATAGCTACAACAAAAAGCAAATTTTGATGTTAAATAAGAAGAAAAGGCCTTACTTTTTTTAAAGTGAAATTATCAAAAAATAAATTGTCTTTTTACTCCAAATTTAAACATTTTCTCTTAAATATATTTGTTCTCTATAATTTATTCGTACATATAATTATCATTAGGGAAATTTACATTAATAGCACACATTTCTTATGGATTTACATATCTCACACCAAATTTTCATAATTGCTGGCAAAACATTTTGGTTATGTAGGAACAGATGGATTTGAGTATTAAAAAGTGATAATTAATGCTATTTTTGATGTGATACGAAATAATTGAATGTTTAAGTGTGTAAATATGACAGTTTTGGTGAGAGATATATAAATCCATAAGAATTATGTGCCATGTATCTAAATGCCCCAATTTATAAACATGTGAGAGACTCAAACTTTTTTTTTTATTATTTTATGCGATGAATAAAAACTCAATATTGCTTTGATTGTAAGTTTATTGAACACGTATTTTATGAGTATATAGATAAAAAGAATAATCAGTATATTATTATTATCATTTTTATAATCATTGTGATATATCCAATTGAACAAATTTAGACTTGATAATGTGATTTATCCTTCGAAAAATATTTTGTATTTTACCAACATACGTACATACGTGCACACACACATATATATATATATATAAGATGTGTCGCGTTCTCAGGTCAATTGGTAGAGCATCTGTTTGGACGGTGTAAGTCTCATCTGGTATGGGATTTGAATCCCGCCTCTGGTGACTGTTGCCTTAAGAATGGGCACTCGAATATTTAGGTGCACGGGTCGCCCGTAGACGTGACTGGAGTTGAGCTAATATGGTGGGTTGGGAACCTCACACCCCAACCCATTCTTATATATAAATATAAATAAAACAAATATATATATATATATACAAAGGATAAGTTAGTGGATTGAAAGTAAAATCAATGGGTCCTAAGAGAGCAAAAGGACAAATATACGTGGTGGGGACAACGTTGAAAAAGTGATCAATGAAATTTGTTCTGATTAGTTGCAATCACATATCTTTTTAAGAAAGCCGCAATATCACTTTTAGATTTTTTTTTTATATGAATTTTAATATTTATTTGAATAAAAATTATTATGAGTAAAAATAGCTATTAAAATGTACATAAATGTACATTTTAATAGTGATTTGTCACCTCCCAAAAGAGCCCTTAAGGGTGGTGGGCAGCCCAGGACTTAAATACTGTTTTTCGGCCCTACACCTAGCCAATGTGGGACTATTTGTCCGTGACATTCTCCTCCACCCAATCACGTGACGCCCTCGTCACGGATCGGTCACGAATCGGCTCCACCGAGGGTCCCACTGGACCATGGAGAGTCCACACACCTGGCAGGCAGTAATCTGCTCTGATACCACTTGTCACCTCCCAAAAGAGCCCTTAAGGGTGGTGGGCAGCCCAGGACTTAAATACTGTTTTTCGGCCCTACACCTAGCCAATGTGGGACTATTTGTCCGTGACAGATTGCTATCTTTCAAAATGGTGTTCTTGAGAAAGAGAGAGATTCTTAAGAGAAAGAGAGAGATTCTTATTTATACTTTAAGTGTATACGTCATTTTAGCCCCTTATGACAATAAAATAAATACATGGTCTCTACTACTTATTAAGTTCATACAAATATTATGATCTCACATAATCCAACTGATTTATCTTTATTTGATCACAAGTACAAGCTTAAGAAAATTAAGATAGCACATAATGTATAATTTTAATATATATGGGCATACATATAAATTTTTTAGTTATCTCCCACTTGGATGGCCATACATATTATTTGATAAATATACATTTTAAAATGCTTCTAAGTGCTAAAATCTTGCTATCTTTCAAAAAAGTATCTTTAGACAATCTTGTTGATGAATAATATTAACATAGGATCAAAGAGATCCGTCACTGTATTTTTCTTGTAACAAGATCTATTTGATGATCACACTATTATTGTAATCAACGATATCGATCAAGTATGGACGTGCAACATGAAAATTTCATGTAATGCGATCATATATTATGCCTATGTCTAACTGGTCTTGTATGTTAACTCAAAAGAGTTATCAAGAAAGCTTCAAATATTTATGCTAAATTACAATTAAAACTATATAATTTTATTTTAGAGTTTTCAAAAGATGAGATAATAATAAAAATTTTGTCTTATCAAAAAATATGTTTACAATAATTGAACATTATAAATTAACTATCACTATGATGGCATATCATCAAGATAAACCACACTCATACCACTCAAATGCTCATGTGGTAAACCTTTTGTAATTGGATTCACAATCATCATCTTTGTGCTTATATGTTCAATGACACTTCAGAACTCTGAATTCTTTCTTTCACATTATTTTCGCTCTTTTCTCTCTTTTCTCTCTTTATTTTTAATGGAATCAATAGTTTGTTTATCATCGTGTACTTCCCTTTCCCGAATAGTTCTCTCTTCTGGATCAAGTGAATGATCAGGAGAAGAGAAGAATAAAAAAATAGGACATACAATAAAGACAAACAAACAAGAGAAAGAACTTAGAGAACTTTATTGCGACAAACCTCGTTGGTATAGGTCAAGTGTATACGTCCAAACAAGATCAAATCAAAATATCATGTGCCAAATATTAATGTAAGTATGCCTAGGAAAGCCACCCACAGTCAAAGATTTAGGTGTGTTTGTTTGTTCTGGGGTTCATAGTGCTCCCAAGAGGACGTATCTCACTTGGTTAATAACATCTTGGGGGTTGCCCAAGAATACTGTTGTTGAAGAGAGTTTTGCTTACATTAAAGTAATAAGTGAAGCAGGGCTGTCAAAGAATGTTTATTTTGCATGGGAATGCTCTGATGCTTTTAAAGCTATCGCTAAACCACAGGGCATAGAGTAAGTCTCTCACGGTCCCACATGGGTAGTAGACTAATTGGCATATGGAGCCTATGAAATAACCATGTCATTTTGATGGGGTATCCCTATACATCAAAGCTCATCGAGTCATCATGAAAAATGATAAATTGTCGTATCCCAAATGTGAGGCAACTCATTGGTAATTGGGTTGTCAATATTATATCAATGACAGCAAGAGATGTGACAAGGCTCAAAGTGGGTTGTCAATGGAAGCGGGGAGTAATCCCTAACAGAGAGATAGCCAGGTTGGGGCACCACAAACCCACCATCTCAAGTCATTAGAGCCCTAAGTCTACCTGGTCGTGAAAGTAGTCGACCCAACACGTCTGGAGATCCTTGGTAAGCAATTCATGAATTGCTTGTTTGTTGATGTTTGTTTGTTTGTTTTCCCTTAATCCATTCATTTCATATATTAAAGTATGAAAAATCAAACAAATCAAGAATTCCATTAGACATATCTTTCAATTCTTTGTTTAGAAATATGGCATAAACATCACATAGAAGAATTCTCATTATTAGTTTATGTTTAGTACCAAAATTATATGCATGCAAGGTTTCATTAATTTTTTTAGCAAAAATGTCTAACTTATATAGATTTTGATTTAAAAAACTAGTGTCAATAATTTTGGAAGATTAAAAGAGACTAATTCTTTATTCTCACATGAACAAGAATAGCCAGATATGCCCAAACAAGAGATACAAATCAATTTTCATCCGAATGAGAGTATATAGAAAGTCTAATATAAATCTAAAATACAACCGGATTATAAGTCTTGTCTATATAAGAATATAGCTTCGACATGAGTTTTGTTATCATTTCTCATATAAATGAATTTTTTAACATCACCCGTCATTCGATTTCTTAATTAGGCAACTCTGTATAGTCACACTTATGTTAGTAATGACACATGTATCTTTCCACCTAGTGTGATTTGATACTATTGATAAATTAACTTCAAAACAAAAAAAAAAGGTTAAAAGATTACCCATTCTTATGAGTCAATTAACATATTTAGGAAATCATTCTTCACATGACCAGTTTTCTTGCAAAAGGAATAATTAACACTATTACACTATTTCTCTTGCACCTTATTTTGTGAAGTCTCTTTATTTGCAACTCTTTTTCCCTTATAAACCATCTTTCATTCAGTAACAATGTCTTAAGAAGTAGCATCTAAACGAGCACTTTCAATCTCCGCTTGTTTTAACTTCTCTTCCTCTTACATGCATTGAGCAATGGGCTCATTAAGAGTCTGTCTTCTTTTGAGTATCATAACTTATTTTAAAATGGTTAAATTACATAGAAAGAGAGTTCAAGATTATGTGCACATAATGTATAATTTTAATATATATGAGCTTATACTAGTAAAATTTCTAATATAAAATTATGATAAAGATAATAATTTCATTCATTTTTATTAAATAAATTTTAAATTAATGGTAAGAGAAAACAGGCAAGCATTTTATATCTGATCCATAAAAATTATTAGTAAGTTAAATATCATGAGTTAGCTATGTCATACCAATTATCTAAAGTTTGACATCTTAGGGTGTAAATGACCGGTTTGAGAAAGCTTAGACTAATTTATGTTTTTCAATGCTTGTGTTCAAATTTATTCGTGAATCATATGTTTGTTTTGATTTCATTTGAATAAAATTGTTGTTTCCGTTCGAGTTGTATATAGCTTAACTTATTTAAAAAATATTAAAATAAATTTTTATTTAGATAAAATTTAAAATTCAAAATAAATATAGGAAAAATAATATATATATCATAGAATTATTATTTAAATTATATTATTTAATCTCGATGTCTTTTTCACTGTTATTTTACTTTTAAATGATTTATTTGTGTATTGGCATAGGAAGATATAATGGGGAAACAAATATTATGATTTTGAAATTTATAATTCAAATTTGTTATGGAAATTGGATTTATTTTAAAATGAATATAATGTAAATTCGATAGGTTCACAATATAAAATATTATAAAAGTTATATTAATTCAACTTAAATTAGAATATTTTCACCTAATTTTTTTTTATAAAAAAGCTCTAATTTAACTGTATCGCAGTCACGTGCGTACTACTAGTCCGCCGATCACCGCAAATGGACAAAAGCAATAAGTGAGAACCAGCACGTGTTTAATTTAGTGCAAAGTTTCAGATCTTTATGTAATAACTTTTAGGGGCATTTACATTCATACCACCATATTTTTTTGTATTTACATTTCCAATATCTAAATTTAATTTTTTTGCATTTATATCACTCATATCCTTCATATCACATCAAAGATATCACTGCTTTATTTACATAAATAAAATACACATTCTAATACATGAGTAAGACCTGTTTTATGTGCATTAAAATTTAGATGTTGGTTATGTAAATACATAGAAATTAAGTGGTATGCATGTAAATCTTCCTACTTTTATATAGAAAACTAAATATATGAATTGAAATAATCTATCAAAATTCTAAACATACTTTAATACATAATATTAACTATTTTCCCATTTCTAATTTACTTTAATTATATAAATTTTATAATATATATAAAACCAACTTAGGCTTAGACTACTTAACTAAATGAATATCTCCAAGCTAAATTTACTGATTTTTTTTTTTGTGCACTTATAGTTTAGTTATTTTAACATAAATTTAATAAATTAGTATAACTTTAAATCAAATATCCTCACTTATTATTATTATTATTATTATTATTATTATTATTATTATTATTATTAGCGCAGATAACCGGCGTAAAGTTGCAGAGCGCACCACTGCTGACCGGAGCTATATTCATGGCGGAAAACCAATACGACCTAAGCCCTCGAATCCTTTGCCTCCTCACCATTCTCAACTCTCTCCTTCTCTGCCTCGGCAACACAGGAGGCCCGATCCTCCTCCGCACCTACTTCCTCCACGGCGGGCGGCGCCAAAGGATCTCCATCTCATCCTTCCTCGAAACCGCAGGTTTCCCCCTCCTCCTCATCCCCCTCTCACTCTCCTACCTCCATCGACGCCGCTCCAATCCCTCCACCCCTTTCACCCACCTCAACACCCGCCTCCTCATCGCCTCCACCATCATCGGCATCCTCACCGGCCTCGACGATTTCCTCTACGCATACGGCCTCGATTACCTCCCCGTCTCCACCGCCATCGTGCTAACAGCGACGCATCTCGGCTTCACGGCCTTCTTCGCTTTTCTGATCGTGCGGCAGAGATTCACCCCGTTTTCGATAAACGCGATCGCGTTATTGACGGTGGGTGCGGCCGTGCTTGCGTTGCACGCGAATGGCGATCGGCCGAAGGGAGTGAGTGCGGCGGGGTATTGGAAGGGTTTTTTCATGACGATCGGGGCCGCGATGCTGTACGGGCTGGTGTTGCCGTTGATGGAGCTGGCTTATGCCAAGGCGGAGATCGTCGTAACATACACGCTGGTGATGGAGATGCAGTTTGTGATGGGGCTTTTCGCTACCGCGTTCTGCGTCGTCGGGATGGTCATCAACGAGGATTTTCAGGTGCGTGACCGATTGAGATTAGCATGATATGTATAGGTTTTGTTTGGATTGAAATCGGATTTAGGGTTTGTGATATGGAAACAGGGGATTGATGGAGAAGCGGAGAAGTATGGATTGGGAGAGGGGAAATACTATTTGGTTCTGGTTTGGTGCGCGGTGTTCTGGCAATGTTTCTTCGTGGGAGCTGTGGGGGTTATCTTCTGTGTTAATACGCTGCTCGCCGCCGTGATCATCGCTTCGCTTATTCCGGTGGTGGAGGTTTTGGGAGTCGTCTTCCTGCAGGAGAAATTCAGCGGTGAGAAGGCGGTTTCTCTGATACTCTCGCTCTGGGGATTGCTTTCTTATTCTTACGGCGAGTATCGACGGCGGAATGAGGAGTCCGGCGGAAGCAGAAGTCCGGCGGCCGCCGCCCCAACCGTTGAAGTGGTCACTTCACTTCCACTGCTGTTTAATGTTGCTGGTCTGTGAAAATGGAATGGGGATTTTTTCATATCACTCCAAATTTTTAAATATAATGGATTGATCGTTCAAACTTAAATTATATATTTTATCTATAAAAAAATAGTTTAAATTTTTAAATATAATGAATTGATCAGAAAATAAAATTTTGGATGGCTGATGGTGAAAATATTGTATTTAAAATTTTGAATTATTATTATATAAAAGCCATAAAAAAAGGAACATTTATTTAAATACCACACAATTCCTATATAGTGTGACCTATCTAACATCTAGATTTTCATATTAATTAATATATATGCCACTCAATAGCATTACTATAATTAGCTTTTTGAATGTGAAATATATTTTCTTCGTCTAAAAAAATTAACATTATGAATATAAATATCAAATTTTATGTGTCAGATATGTAAATAAGTATGAAGTGTGTTGCGTACAAGTAAATTATGAAATAAAAAAGATACTTTATGACGAATAAAAACGAAATAAGCTAGAAAATTCAAAAATTGTAAGGATAAAAAAATATTAATATATAACAATGAAAAAATAAATAAGAGATTAGCTTACTAATTATAAATCATGATAATGAAGCAAGAAAAAAAATTCTGACATGATCATGGCCAAATAGAGCATCTCCACGAGATGAATCGAGACATCATTAAAGCACTTTCACGGATCATCTTCCCATCAAAAAAATCTCTTTAGGACGTCTTATCTGAGCCCTCTAAATTCTTTTCTTATTTGCAATATAGGCTCTATAAATAGTTATATCCTCTTTATGAAAGCAGACCTAGACTTTGAGCCTGAGGAAGAACAAAGCTTGGAGAAGAATGAGCTAAAGCCAAGTATTGTTTCTGCACTGAAGATCCGATCAACTCCTTCTGCTCCTGCAGTTGTCGACCATCGTAGACCACTGCTTGTCAGCTCGTCGAACATCAACGGCCTCCACATATTCCTTGCAGCAAAATCCCATACGGAGTCATAACGTGTGCAGTAGAATCCCAGTGTGCATTGCAGAACAGCGAAGCACCTGACGGAGCAGTGCATCAACCAGCATGTCGTGAAATGACGCAACTCAAAGACTATGTATTGGTTCTAGTAATTTTTCTCAATTGCGGAAACTCCTGACTATTGTACGACAAACACGGTGCCTTAAAGAATTGTGTAGTCATTTTCAACCAGTGGGACATGAATTTGTACATGTAATCCTCAATTTATAGTAGATTGTTCTAACTAGGTCAGATCACGTGATTTTTTTTCTTTTTGAGTTTCTACGTAAAAAAGTTATGACGTCTCTACTGATTATTTTTTTCTTTTGAGTGAGTGCTTGTCATACAACACTAACACAATAGTTATTTACTTCACCATCATGAATCTTCTGCGACACGTTAAGTCGCTTTCGATCCTATTTTAAAACTTGAAAATTATGCCAACGAACGTAAAGAGTGATTGACTGATCTCTTAAAATATTGACCGTTCATCCAAATAAATATTATTCCAGAACTGTGCCTAGGCCTATTCGTTATTGATTCTTATATGCATTAGATGGTTGAAGAGAACTTTTATATTTCTCAAAACTATATAAATTTCTTATAATTAAACATCCTTTTATTTAAAAAAAAAAATATTTGGGGCATTTACATATGTACTACCCAATTCCTATGTGATAAGATATCAACGCCTAAATTTTACTTTTTATATTTGTATCACCTAAATGTTTCATATCACACTGAAGATATCACTATTTTTTGGCTTAAAAAAATAAAGTATACCTTTTTCAATTCTTATGCATTTGCATATCTAACTCATGATAAAACGTCAACAAATTTCATGATCTGACATGAATCTCGAAATAATTTTTTGAGCAAAAAATGTTCAATATTTGATTAAAAAATCATCCACAACTTTGATTTTAGTGAACTTAGAGTCAAATTGACTGGCTCGATAAGATAGACCCAATGAGACCAAAGTTGGTCCAATCCGAGCCAAACCAAACCCGAACCGTTAAAACACATTTCAAAATTTTTAATGACAAATTTCAAATCTAACATACTTATAGTCAAATCGTGTTTTTAACGATATGAATTCAATAAGCCCAATATTGCTCAATTCTAAAATCATTAAGGAACTCGGATGTTAACCGAAAGTTATCTGATCTAAGTAATCTCTTCGAGTAGATGTGACATGAATTTTTTTCTTATTTGCAAAGACTTCACCCAAACTCTATAAATAGACTCGTACCCTCTCCTGATAGAGATAAGAGACCTTAAGCTAGAAGAAGACTGAAGTTTGGAAGATGGGCTAAAGTCTAGCTTCGCTTATGCAGCGCAGATATGACGAATACCCCCCACTCCTACAACCGTAAACTACCACTCACCAGCCACCGTCGACCACCATCGGAAACCACGTGCTTCTTGTAGCTCAGCCCCTTGTGGAGTTGTAATGTGCATTGCAGAATCTCAGCTTGCGTTGCAGAATAATGAAGCTCCCAATAGAGCAATACATTGTCACGTACATCGTGCAACGGCGGACACTGAAGATAGTGTAACAACACATCTCAAATATGGTGCAATGATACACCCCGAAGGCGGTGTAATAATGTACTCTGAATATGGTGTAACAATAAACCTCGATGGCAGTGTAACAATGTGCCCCAAAGACAACGAATTTCTCTAGACTTTTAAAGCTCTTTCTTTACAACTTACCACCACAGTCTACTTGAACAACTATGATGTACATGGTCCAAAGCTCGTGCAGCTCTTGACTTTGGCCTCTACAACCTGCGAACGTCGTCACAACTCAGCATTGCAACCTATGAGACGAAATACGACCTGCGTGGCTCTCAAGACATGCAACTGCCAACTCTGACCTCTATGACCCACCAATGTTATCACAGCTTATCATTATGACCTACGTGATCAATTCTAACTTATGTAGTTTATGACTCCCGCCACTCTGTACTAGGGCCTCTATGGCCAACCAGTGCTTCTAAAACAACCATATATGGTTTACATAGCCAAATACCACCACAACACTCAACTACGACCTCTATGACAAACATGTGCTACAACTATCATTTATAACATGCATAGCGGGTCACTGCTTTCATAGTCATTAACTATAGCCTTAACGATCTGTTATACCTATAATTATTGAATTACCACTACATATCAACATTGTGATTTCATCTTGTACACTCACCGTTCATAATGAAATATTTTAATTAGGCTAGTCTGCTTGGTTTTTTTTTCCCCTTATTAGGGTTTTCCAGGTAACAATCCAGGTGTCTCAACTTGTTTTTTTCTCTTTAATTATTTGAGTATGTGTTTGATTTTCATCCAACACCACCAAGACAATAATTCATTATTCTACATCTGCGAGCCTTCCAACATGAATAAACTCATAAACACTAACATAATAAAGACAATCTTTTTTTATCTATAGCCATGTTTGTTTCACTTTTTTACAGAAAAAAATAAAAGAAAGTAATTTTTTTTTTATAAATGTTATAAGAAAACTTTTGGTGGTTTAAATGTAAAAAAATAAAAAAGGAAAGATTTTAGAAAAGTAAATACACAATTATTGGGTGGTATTTACGAAAATGCCCCAATTAACTAATAATTAGAGGTAGAAGTATATATTCATCCGTCCACTAATCGTCACAGATCGAAGAATATGAACACTAAGTAATATCCATTCACTAAGAATAAATTCTTAACCTTTTATTCTAAACCTCTTCTTATTTTTATCTTCTAAACATTTATAAAAATAATTAAACTCACCCAAATCATCTCCATCTCCATCTCCAACTATAAATTCTGAACCTACTTCAATCCCTCTGCCCAAACAGAGCTGATCAATAGCAATGGAGACCACCGCCCCACTGAACATTCCCACCACCAACAAGCACACCAGCAGCCGCCGCCGCCACCACCACCACCACCACCAAAAGCTCCTCATCATCATCCTCAACTGCCTCCTCCTCAGCCTCGGCAACACCGGCGGCCCCCCA